CTTCTTTATCCATTCATTGGACACTTGGGCTGCTTCCATAATTTGGCTATTATAGATTGTGCTGCTATAAACATAGCCACACATGTATCCCCTTGAATTATTGTTTTTTAATTTTTTTGGTAATTACCCAGTAGTCCAATTCCTGGATCATAGGGTGATTCTATCTTTAACTTTTTGAAGAACCTCCATACTGTCTTCTGCGCAGGTTTGCATTCCCACCAACAGTGCAAGGGGGTCCTTTTCCTCCACCTCCTCATCAACACGTATTGTGTTTTTGATGTTAGCCATGCAGACGGGTGTGAGGTGGTATCTCATTGTGGTTTTGGTTTGTGCTCCCTGATGACGAGTGATGTTGAGCATCTCTCCATGTGTCCCCTCCCAATGCCGGAGAACATGTGATGAGCGTGAACATCCGCTGTGTGCCCGGCACTCTGCAAGTATCATCTCCCTGAATCCCCCTAACAACTCTGGGAGGGGGCCTTTTATCATGCTTGAGTGAAGATGAGAAACAAGGAGCAAGGGAGTTTAGTAAATGCCCAAAGTCGTATAACTTGTAAAAGTGACCCAGTGAGGATGCTATCGATAGCTTAGATTCATGCTCGTTTATCTCAAATAATGCCTATTTCAAATAACTGCTATGTTCCTAGCAGCTCCCTATCATTCATGCCTTATCATTCCTAAATATTGAGATTCACTGAAAAAAAAAAAGTCAACCTTTGTACCTTCCCAGTCCCTAGTGTTTGAAAAGCGTGGGAGCAGGTGGAGGCAGGGCGCTCCGTCTCTGACCTCACCGGGCTGAGTTCCCAGGGAGAACAAATGTGTTACGAAGAGGCTTTCTCAGAGCCTGGTCCTCAAGGAGTAGCCTGCGGTGGAGGGGGGAATACAACCTTCCCCTTCGCGCAAAGGTGATTTCTCTCTGGTTCCCATGGCTCTGCATCAGAAGGGACCCCTAACTGCCCAGTCAGTGCACATCCTATTTCCAGGTATTTGATGAGATTGGGAATCTCAGGGATGGGCAAAGAGTGTCCCTTGTCCAGATACTCAGAGAGACAGAGATAATTGATCATACTTATGGGAATATTGTTCCTCATGGATAGACAAGTTCTGGAGGAAGCAACAGTTCCACTTCTCCTAAGAAGTGACATTGGGGCTCATAGTGAAGAATGAGGAGATAATTAGGAGAAGAGGAAGAACTTCTCAGGCAGAGGGAACAGTGCAAAGGCCCTGAGGCAGAGAAACACTGAGAGGAACCAGTGTGGCTGAAGGGGAAGCCAGGGGCTAGGTGATTTAAGAGAAGGTCTGGAGTCCCAAAGAACCAGACCAGACTGGGCTTCCAAGGCTGGATCTTCAACTTGGAATGCCAGGACCCTGGGTGTATATGAAGGCTTCCTAAGTCATGGGAGACCCTTGATTTACATGTCTTCTATTTTAAAATTGATCTGGCTGAGATGGACCCAGGTGGAGACATGAGGGTGCTCTTGTAACACCTCCTCTTTCAACCATCTCCTGTCTCCTGCTGGTCAGAGGAGAGGCTCACCTCTTACCCCACCTAATTCTTACCACCTTACTGTGGTACATTGTCCTGAGGCATAAGAACACCCATCCGGAAGCACCGTTAGTGTCTGTTTTATCAAGGCTCCCCAAATCTCCACCATCCATCTCATTCAGTCATGCACTTTTATTACAATTTTTCTTATTATGTTTAATAATTATCAAAATTCACATGTGCAGGATGCGTTCATAATTTATATGCTAATGATTATTATTATAACATGATTATAAAGGCAGTTTTAAAACTTAGAAGCTTGTGGCCATAAAATAATTTTTTTTAACTTTTTTTAAAATTTGAGAGTGCATGTATGCAGGGGGGAGATAAAGAGAAGAAGGAGAGAGAATCTTAAGCAGGCTCGACGTTCAGCATGGAGCCTGACACAGGGCTTGATCCCATGACCCTGGGATCATGACCTGAGCTGAAATCAAGAGTCAGACACTCAATGGACTGAGCCACCCGGGCACCCCCCAAAAAGATTTTTAAAGCTAATGCATATTCATAAGTTGTTACAGTTGATTTAATAGACAAGGTAGTAAATAAAGAAGTTAAGTGATAAAATCATTACAGGTGGGGGGCACCTGGGTGGCTTAGTCTGTTGAGCATGCAACTTCAGCTCAGGTCATGATCTCATGGTTTGTGGGTTCGAGCCCCACATTGGGCTCTGTGCTGACAGCTCGGAGCCTGGAGCCTGCTTCAGATTCTCTGTCTCCCTATCTCTCTGCCCCTCCCCTGCTCATGCTCTGCCTCTCTCTGTCTCTCAAAAATAAATAAATGTTAAAAAAAAAAAACCATTATAGGTAGATAAAATACTGTCAAAGTGGAATGAAATATTTGAAGGCATAAAGAATATACATTTTTGACTGTTGAAGAGAAACTTCTTTGTATTTTTAAGTATACACTTGATCTTAGCCAAAAGGCCGAGAAGCGATGTATTTTTAAGTATAAAAGGTGGTTTCGCATCCTTGTACCATTTATATTCTATTGGGTACATTTAAATATTTTTTAATGTTTATTTATTTAAAAAAATTTTAATGTTTTTATTTATTTTTGAGAGACAGAGATATAGCACGAGCAGGGGAGGGGCAGAGAACGAGGGAGACACAGAATCCGAAGCAGTTTCTAGGCTCTGAGCTATCTGCACAGAGCCCAACACGGGGCTCAAACCCATGAACTGCGAGATCATGACCTGAGCCAAAGTCGGACACTTAACCTACTGAGCCACTCAGGTGCCCCAACGTTTGTTTATTTTTGAGAGAGAGAGAGAGCAAGCAAGCAGGGGAGAGGCAGAGCAAGAGGGAGACACAGAATCAGACACAGAATCTGAAACAGGCTCCAGGCTCTGAGCTATCAGCCCAGAGCCCAATGTGGGGCTCAAACCCACGAACTGTGAGATCATGACCTGAGCCGAAGTCAGATGCTTGACCGACTGAACCTCCCAGGCGCCCCTTCCATTGGGTACATTTAAATGAGAGTTATGATGGTTTATATATAGAGGTCAATATATACAATAGAATCCAAACCACTTAAATTTATTAAAAAAAACATTTCAGATGCCAACTCAGATATGTATGGGGCATACATATTTTTAGAGGATTCTTTTGTGGGTATCAACAAAAAGTGCGGAGACCCTGTTGTGGGCTGCAGTGTTCCAGGTGTGGTGGCCGAGATCAGAGGGAGGAAGCGTTTTCCCCAGCGCCAGACGCCTCCAGCCGCTGGGCCAGAGTTGCTGTGCCCTCCTGAATGTACAGGCACCCCAAGAACAGCAGTTTTGCCTGCTTAGGCCATTACTGTCTCCCCAGCATCAACCTTAGTGCCTGGCACGTAGTAAGCACTCAGTAAGTACTTATTGGATGCATGAATGGCAGAGACACCAAGCTCTCACTTTGTGCACGGCCCTGTGTGAAGGGATTCCCATTTAATCTTCACCACACCCCTGCAGTCGGCCCAATTAGGATCCCCATTTTCAAGATGGGGAAACTAAGGCACAGAGAAGATAAATAATTTGCCCAAGGTCAAGTAGCAGAATGGGACCCAGGCATCCTTACAAGAGCCCTTAACTGTGACCCCGCTCTGCCCACGGGAGGATGGGGCCGAGCCTGATTCCTTGGGTTCTGAAACCCCGGGCACGTTGGGCACCACACGAGTGTGATACCCTTCCCTGCCTTCTCCCTGGCTCCCTCAGCTGCTCTCTCCTCCTAAGTGGCTTTCCTTCTCTCCTTGTTTAATATTTCAAGTGACACATCCTGGGACATCCCGGAGTCCCCATGTTACTGACCTACTTACTTATCCAACCATCTTTCTCACCCATTAAGCGCGGCATCGGGAAGGAAGCATGAGGGTGAAGGAGGGGAGAGAGAGCAGCGGGGGGCAGGGCACACATCACCTGTGCTGTGGGCAGCCTCTAGCTGACAGTAAGCCAGCACTAGCGACACAAGGCTGGGCTGCACTGTTAGGAGGCTGCAGCCGGGTAACTGATTCTCAGCGGCTTTCTAATGACATTGCTCTGGTTTCTTCCATCCCCTAGAAGGGTATCGGGAGCTCCAGCTAAGTCGGGGGACATCTGCCTGTTTCTCTTCTGCTTCTAAACTGGGTGGACTGGGAAATCAAAGGTGGGCTCTTACCCTGGGAAGTGAGGACGACAGCTGCCCATCACCCACCAACGGGCACTGTGCCTGTCTTCACCAGACTCCCGGGGCACCCCACTACAGCACACGGGGTCTGGGCCAGCTGCCCCCTCAGTCCTTTCACTGAGACGCCCGGCACCTTCCTGGTCTCTAGTGTCCTCTGTCCAGGGTGACATACTCCTGGTGGCCCCGGAGGCTCAGGCCCGCCGCTCCTACTTTCTGAGTCCTCCGCTCTAAGGCCTGGGGTCTCCACATCCCCCCGCTGTGGGGGTGACACTGAGAGTGTGTGTCCCCTTTCCCCCTGTTTCCACACCCCTTACCCGAGGGTACCCAAGGACCTGCGGATCAAAGACTCAAAGTAGGGGATGCTGAGTGGCTTCCCTCCGAAAGAGATCTGTCCCTGGCTCTCAACACCCTCTGACCCCCTCGCGGGGCTCATCCAGCAGCCTTCAGTTCCTCAGGGGCAGTGAGGCTCAGCGAGCAGCCGCAGCCGCTGCGTGGGGCCAGGTGAAAGCGCTCACCGACTCCTCATCTTGGCCCCTGACCTTAACCCCAGGGCCCTTGACGTCTCGCTGCGGCGGCCCTGACTTCTTCCCTTGGCGCTCCCCCTAACCCCGCCCCCCCCCCCCCCCCCCCCCCCCCCCCCCCCAGCACGGCAGCTCCGGATCCGGCACCGGCACCGGCGGGCGGCGGCGGGGAGCCGGGTTGGCCGGCGCTGGTCTGCGCGGGGGGCCGAGGCCGGGGCTGGAAGGTGACGCCCTCCCGCCCCCGTCGGCCGTGACGTCAGAGCCGGACCGGGTAAAGTGAGCGGCGGCGGCGCGGGGCGCGGGGCTGGCGACCGCTCCCCGGAGCCGCGCGGACGGGCGGAGCCCACGGCGCAGGGCAGGCAGCCGCGGGCGACCCCGAGGTAACGCGGGACCCGGTGCGGGGGCAGCGGGGGCCCGGCCGAGGGCGGGGAAGACCCCGAGGGGCGGGGGTCTCCGTCTCCGGGGCGGCCGGGGAGAGCCGGGGCGCAGGACGCGCGGGGCGCCTTCCGAGCGCTCGGAGGCAGGAGTGGGACCTCGAGGGCGGCGGAGAGCGGGACCACCCGCCCCCTCCCCGCCGGTCCCGGGTTCAGGACCCGACGCCGCTCGCGGGCATCCTCGGCCCGGAGCGCAGGTGTCCTCGAAAACGCACCCGCCGCAGGTGACCCGAGGGTGGGACGCCCGTGCGCGCGGCTCGGCTCGGGGACCGCTCCTTCTGCCCGGGGCGAGGTGGGAGCGCTGCGGGTGCGGGGAGCCCCCGGCCCGCCGCCGCCCCTCGCCCCTCACCCCTCGCCGCGCCCTCAGCCCGGCCCCGGAGCCATGGCCCTGAGCGACCTGGCGCTGCTCCGCTGGCTGCTGGAGAGCAACCACTCGCGGAAGCTCACCCTGTTCATCGTGTTCCTCGCGCTGCTGCTGGACAACATGCTGCTCACGGTCGTGGGTACGTGCGCCCCTCCGCGGGTCCCCCTGCCCTGGGTGCCCCACCCGCCCGGGCGCGCCCCGGGAAAGTTGCAGAACGCGCGTTGCAAAAATACATCACCCTCCACTCCCCCGGGTCTGCCGCGCTGGGCGACTCGCAGCCGCGCTTTGTGGCTTCGTTTTCCTGGTGGTCAGGTCAAAAAATGTGACATCTGTTAAGACCCAGAACTTGTGTTTCCTCCTGATAACTTCCTGCTCCCCCGCTGCCTCCGTTGACCGCGATGAAAAAGATTTCTAGGAAGAGCTAGCAAGTCGCAGGGCTCGAGATAACGTTGATAATGAGATAAAACGTTGCAATAGTTACTATGCAAACCAACAAGGTGGGTTCACAGTTTGGAGTAACATTTAAAGGATCAAGTCAGCCTCTCTCCCCGCAAAGAAAGGAAACGATTTTTCAATATGTTGTATCAGTGCATGGTTAGGACCTTTTCAAGAACAATTTGAACAGTATTGGTTTTAGTCTTTTTCCTGTAATGGCTTTTTGAAAGGCTAATTAAAATCCAGGTCTCTTAATTAGCCCTATCAACGGCGAAGTATTTGGTATGCTTTTCCTTTAAAGATGCCCACAGTTTTAATGAATAATTTTCTTTTTAGTTTGCATTCCCCCCGGGTGGGTTATTCCCCTTCTCTCCCCTTGCGGATTCCCCCCTGTAGGATTTTCGGGATTATCAGAGTCCTAGGGATCATCGGACTTCAGAACAGCCTCGCTTCTCTTTTGTCTTCAGTGCTCTGTGGGCTCACAGGTGCTTTTACATCACTTTTTTTCTTTGCCTCTGTGGAAGTCTCCGGAATTTCTACATCTTCCCGGTTGTATGAAAAATCGCAGACTCCCACTCAGGTAATAGAAAGATGATGCGGGCCCGTTGCAATCTCCAAACTATTCCTCTTCCTGTGAGGTTATTTTTCCCCAAGACACAGAACGAAGTTGAGGTTTCTATTTCCTCGATTCATTCGTTTGAAGGTTCGAGTCTCTCCCTGAGGAGCTCTCGTCGATCCCAGGTCAGCACTGGGCAGAATCCCGACCCCATTGTGCTTTCCTAAAATATTCCTGTAAGGGAGCCGTGTAATGAGAAACCCCACACAGGACAAGAAGGGCACCCTGGGCCGGTTGCTTCCGCACAGTCGCTGGCTCAGAGGGCAGGCGGAGTGCTCCCAGCCTCCGGGGGCTGTGTGCTCTCTATCCGGAGCTCTGCACTATGAGATGCCTCCACGGTCCGGGCAGGGGGCCCGTCACAGGGGCAGTTTGGCATTTGAGGGGACCGTCGTTTTGCTGTCGATTGTCCTGATGACAGGTGGCTTCTGTGCAGCCACGACCTTCCCGTTCTGCTTTTGTCCCTAGTCCCTATCATCCCGAGTTACCTGTACAGCATTAATCACGAGAAGAACGCCTCAGAAATCCAGACAGCCAGGCCAGTGCTCACGGAGTCTACCTCAGGCAGCTTCCAGAGCATCTTCTCTTACTATGACAACTCCATCATCGTCACCGAGAACGGCACCGGAGGGACTCCGGGGCCGCTGCCCACGGCCCCCACACAGCACACGGTGACCAACACGTCCGCTGCGCCTTCTGACTGTCCCCGTGAAGACCGATATCTCCTGAATGAAAACGTGCAAGTCGGCCTGCTGTTCGCCTCGAAAGCCACAGTCCAGCTCCTCACCAACCCCTTCGTAGGACTGTTGACCAACAGGTAGGCTCTGTTATTTTGTCCAAGGAGGCGCCTGTTTATGCCGGTCTCCAGGTCCTTTCTCTTTGGGATTCTGTTTCTCCTTCATTTATCAGAATGTGGGAAAGCAGGGGTGGGCGAGCGGGGGTGTGGGAAAGCAGGGGTGGGCGAGCGGGGGAGAAGCCCCGCCTCCTCCCCCTCTGTGTTTCATTCCTTCCTGTGATTCCTCCCTCGTGTTCCACCTCTTCGTTGCCCCGTCTCTTAGAAAGTAAGAAAATATTAAAACAGAATAAAGAGGCCCTCCCCAGGTGGGAGAGCGCTGATTCCGCCTAAATGCCACATGGCATTAGTGCATTTGTCAGAATCGCCCTTGGGCGGCAGGAACTACCCCTGTGGCCACCATGGCCTCCTCATTGGCTTCTGTGTGCCACACGGCTTTGTGTTTTCTTCTTACCCTGGTCGTTTGCTTCTGCATAGAAGGCCAAGGTGGTTTGCCTTAGAGCTGGTGTGCTGAAGGGTCAAGATGGCCAGGGAGAGGGTGGGAAAGACCAGTGATCCTGCCGCAAAGACGGGACCCTTAGCTCACGCCGAGGCCACGGGTAGTGTAAACAGCCCCCTTGCCAATTACTGAGCTGTGTCCATGTGCACAAAGAGAAAAGAATTGAGCCTGTTTTCTGGGTAAGTCAAACCAACCACTAATGCCCTAGATAATGCCCAAGCTAGCTTTCTTTCATTCTGGATGTTCTGGATGGTGTTGGGGGACCCACCTCGTTTTGAATAATTGTTCACATCCCTGCTGTCGGGGGCCATCCAGCAAGTATCCTTCTGTAGCCCAGCGGACCCAGCTCTGCCTGGTATATCGGGTTCTCAGAAGCATAGGATGGGGCACTTGCAGAGAAAGGGAGGAGGCAGTCCCTGAAGGTGTCAGCTGCAAAGAGGGAGAGCTGGTACCGTGTGAGTGATGGGGGTCGACTGCCGTGTAGACGTTGTAGCCCGAAAGGCAGAAATGCAACAAAACAAAACAAACTCCCAAAAAACACAGAAACAAAAAAACTCAAACAAAAACCAAAAAAACGGTAGAGTGGGGAGTGCCTGGAATCCTGCTTGTAAACCAGGCCCAGACGCATGAGCAGAGACCAGGATTACAGCTGGAAACGAGAACGTAGGACAGTGGGAATAAGGAAGGTAGAGCAAGGCTATAAGGGGCCCTGAGCCAGGCCAAGGGAGGAGGGGGGTTATGTTGGTGTTTCGGGGGGAGGTAGCCCCTGGGAGCCACTAGAGGTTCCAAAGCCAAGTTGAAGAGTCTGTGAACCATGCAAGCTGGGATTGGGGACATCATCACGTTTCTTTGGCCTGGCGTAGGGGCGCAGGCCCAGCTCCCTAATCTGCAGGGCTTTGTTCAGATATCATGAAGCGTTTCAACATTGTAACAACAGAGCATTAAAGCAAGTACGGGGCCCGGGGCCAACTCTGGGGCAGGGAAGAGGCAGCTGTGGGTGAGGGGGCCTGGGGTGGTGGCAGGGGCTTAGATCTGACCTCGCCTCGCCCCATCCCCTGCCCTCCCCTCCCGTCCTCACCCCATCCCCTGCCCCAGGCTGCCCTCGGACACACATAGGGTGCTGGTCACATCCCCAAAGGCAGTTGGAGGGAAAAACATTTTATGCTTTTGCAGTTTGTCTCTCTGGATTGGGTAGCGCCGTTGAATACATTTTCATGATCCCAGGCCGTGTCCAGCCCTCCCGTGTCCAGCGATATTATGAAGCTGCCACATAAAATCTACCAGGCAAGTTAACCTGGCAAGGACAGGTGCTCTGTGAGCCCACCCAGGAACACCGTCAGCAAGGCACCATTTCCCTTTCTTCTTTTTTTTCCTGTTTATTTCTGAGAGAGAGAGAGAGAGAGAGAGAAAGAGAGAGAGAGAGAGAGACAGCCTGAGCAGGGGAGGGTCGGAGAGAGAGGGAGACACAGAATCTGAAGCAGGCTCCAGGCTCTGAGCTGGCAGTCAGCACAGAGCCCGACGCGTGGCTCGAACCCACGAACCGCGAGATCATGACCTGAGCCGAAGTCGGACGCTTAACCGACTGAGCCACCCAGGAGCCCCTCCCTTTCTTCTTCAGTGGGAAAACCAGACAGACCTCGGTAGTTGGGTTGTGTTTCTCTCTGTTCTCCGCCCTAAGAGTGCTGCTTTAAAAATGCATCTGGTGTAATTACAGAAAATGTCTCCGGGTTTTGTATTCTGAGAAAGCAAACAACTCAAATCCTATATGAGGAAAATTAAGGACCTGACTGTCATGCCTGGCCAATCACTTGACCACGGATATTCCTAGCTGTACGGTGTGATACGGTCCTTCGAACCTCAGCTGAGATGATGTGTTGCAGTCTTCCAAAGGCAAATGTGAAAAGCTTTTTTAAAAATCCTATTATTTTAAATGTTTCATTATTTATTTTTGAGAGAGCGAGAGAGAGAGACACACACACAGCCTGAGCAGGGGAGGGTCAGAGAGAGAGAGGGAGACACAGAATCCGAAGACAGGCTCCAGGCCCTGAGCTGTCTGCATTAGAGCACAACACGGGGCTTGAACCCCACAAACTGTGGGATCGTGACCTGAGCTGAAGTCGGACACTTAACCGACTGAGCCACCCAGGTGCTTCTAAAAATCCTATTGTTTTTAATGCTCTGCTCGTGCCATGGGGAAGAAGCTTATTTAAAGCCCATGAGACCTTTCCCCTATTAAATAGTCCAAATGCTTTGATGTTGTTGCCACCCAGGACTCCTATTTGGGGCTCAAAAAATAAAAAGTCTTTCCAAGAGAAACCTAATTTACCTTAGCGGGGAGAGAGAACATGCATGTTGTGAGCAGGGGAGGGCAGATGGAGAGGGGGAGAGAATCTTAAGCAGGCTCCACGCCCAGTATGAAACCCAACATGAAGCTTGATCACACGACTGTGAGATCACAATATGAGAGGAAAGCAAGAGTCAGACACTGAACTGATTGAGCCACTCAGGCATCCCAGAGCATGAGATGGGGAGAGGGGCAGAGGAAGAGAGAGAGAGAAAGTGAGAGAGAGAGAGAGAGAAAGAGAGAGAGAATCTCAAGGAGGCTCCATCCTGTGACCTTGGGATCGTGACCCAAGCCCAAATCAAGAGTCAAACACTCAACCCACTGAGCCACCCAGTTCCCCACTCCTCCAGTCTATTCTTTTTTTTTTTTTTAATATTTTTATTTATTTCTAGGAGAGAGAGAGAGACAGTGTGAGCCGGGGAGGGTCAGAGAGAGAGGGAGACACAGACTCTGAAACAGACTCCAGGCTCTGAGCTGGCAGTCAGCACATGGCCCGACGTGGGGCTCGAACCCACAAACCGCAAGATCATGATCTAAGCGAAAGTCAGACGCTTAACCGACTAAGCCACCCAGGTGCCCCTCCTCCAGTCTATTCTTATGATGAGTAATCCACTTTGCAATTTAGGGCAAAATTTTAATCCCTAAGGGTCCCCTCCACTCCCCACACCCCCACTCCCCCCCCCCCACTCCCCAGCAAATTTAAAAGCCCTCCTCTAGGTCTGTCTTGTGACATGGATATGCAAACAAACTGTATATTTGATGTTGTATGTAGCATGAACTCTGCTGTCCCTCCAAAATGATCATGATTGGTATATCTTCCAAGCCGGGAGGCATGCGTTTTGGGGACTTGTGGCGTTTCTGGGCACTCCGCAGCTCTGCTCAGAGGAGCGATACGTTCCACTTCCCTTTACGGAACTTGTGAGCTGCTGCAAATAGTCTTCTGATGTAATTTGTGCCAATCGCATCTTCAATTACGAACAAGATGTGTGACTCACATTTTCGGCGTTGTAAACAAGTGCTTTTAAAATGGCACATTACAGTTGGTTAATGTGTTTCTGATTAAAGAAGGTGGAGTTAAGCATGGGCACCAGAGCCTGATGATGCTTCAGCGGGGCCTTTGGGGCCAGGCCTGCCATTTTATAGGCAGAGGAGTTTGCCACGCAGGAAGAGAAAGCGACTGCCCCTGGCGACAGACAGCAGGGCTAAAGCCAGTGTCCAGACTCTCTGTCTGGGTGACTTCCTCCCTTCCTGTTCCTTCCACTTGCTTCGTGTTGTGTAGTTTTGACATTCAGCTACTGAGAATCAACAGTGCGGGTCAAGACTCTGCTCTTCTTGTGTCTTTTGGGCTCCCTCTGGTTGTACCAGGCTGAGCTAGGGAAAGCCCAAACAGTGGGTTGTTGATGGCTATTTTCAATCCTCTGGCAGGGAGTTTAGACAAAACTAGCCTGGTTTCTTGGACGTAGACCCTCCATCGTGTCCCCAGCCCCAGAAAAATCTCTCTTTCCAGCCCTGGCTGATCTGGCCCAGCTTGCCGGCCTCTCTGCGGTGCACCCCCATGGACGGGGGGAGCTACCAGGAGGCTGGCTGGAGCCACTCCTTTCTAGAGCCTCTTGCTGCAGGCAGGACCTACTCGTCACATGTGTTACCGCCTGGACCCTCCCATTCGAGTTCAGGATGCCGCTGTAGGAGTGACCTTTATGGGTGGGCGATATGAGACGCAAGCTGCCTGTCGGTTGCTTTACATGTTGGGTAAGAGCCCTCATTCCAAACCCAGCAAGTAAAGCACGACTGTTCATGAGAAACGTGCGTGTGTTCATTGGGCTGCCCGTATCGATCTACGCAAGTCTTGATTTCACTTAGCGTCAGGGCCCATAGTTTTTACTGTAAAACAGGTGACCAGAGAGGGAGCAAACTTGATTTTGGCAGGCGTACTGATCACATTTCCAGCAACGCACTGTCCAAAGCCTGCAGGTGCCTTGGATGACTTGATTTTTATTTTTTATTTGTTTGGAGCTCCTATGACTTGTTTTAGAATTCCAGTTTACTGACTTCATGATTGCCGTTGCGTGTAAGAGGGAGGGGTAGCGGCAGCTGTTACCGTCTGCCCCACGAGTGGATTTTAGGCATATGAAGACTTAAAGGGGATGTGTCAGGCCGGCAAACCATGTAAAAACAGCTTTATGTAGCTCTCCATAAATCCGGTTAAGAATGTGGCTACGTTCTTCACTTGGTTCACATGGAGCTTCTATATACAGTGGCTGCAGCTTGAGAACTGAAAGAAATTCCGGATGCACGGGACCCACGGCTGGGGAAAGAGTTAACTTCAGGTGCCTGGGGACAGCTCCCTTGGCCGCCTCCTTAGCTTGTCAAGGTCTCAGTGGTCTGCTTTTTATCAAGCCAGCATCAGTGGCTTAATTTATTTCCATAGTTACCTAGTATATTTGAAAGCCCGTTATTTGTCCTCACAAATCTTAGCTAACATCTGAACGACGAGAAGGAAGCCACAGGGCATGAAGTCTCTATAGAACATACAGTGGTAATTTTTTTTCTTTCTTTAGCCTCAGCCCATTGGTCTGAAGTGGGTTTTGTGGGAATGAGCAGTGACCTTTTCAGTTTCTTCGTGGATGGGAAAACCAGCTCGTCTGGAAAGGGCTCTCCCATCCTAGATGTTGTTAGGATGGTGTGATGGAGCCTTCGCTTCTCAAATGCAGAGAGGCTGGTAGTGGAATCAGGTGTTTCTCATGGGAGCAGAGCCCCCTCCCCCCATTGTCCCCTGTGCCAGGGAACAGGGGTCCTACCCCCCCAAAGAAAGAAGTCCAGGGCTCACCTAACTTCCTGTGCGCATCTAATAGCTGAAAAAGACAGACCTAAGGACTCAACCTAAGAATGTTGTTTTATTTACAAATGACCGTTAACTTCCTAGTACGTCTTAGCCTGTGAATCATTCTGTTTACTAACGCTCACTTCCTGTACCACCTTTTAAAAGGTAATCAAAAAGGGAGATGTCACCTCTGTCCCTTCTGGGTCCCCTGCTTTGTGTCCTTCCCATTGTGCTTTTCCAGGGCAGAGAGAGCCTAGGTTTGAACAGGCCTGAGAATGGAGGTTTGCAGCAGGCTCTATGGCAAAGAGAAACTAGTTATTAAAGAAAAAAAGTATTGATTTTCAGTGATGATTTAGGGAATATGGAGTTTCTCCACTGTGCGTAGGTATATATAACGATCATAACTTTTATCGCTTGGTGCTTTTGTCTAGGGATTCAATATATGACTTTTAGTCTTATTCCAATTAGATTAACTGCTCCCTGATGCTCTATAGAGGATGACTGGCTGGGATGACGCATGAGGGGATAGTAATGGGATATTTTGTTAAAGGTTTGCTGCCTCAGATCTAGCTCCGCTTAGCACGGAGAGAAGAGGCTGACTCAGATGTTCATGGCTAATGTCAGCTGAGTCTCTATCCATTTAGGAGACATTGTGAGGGAAGAGAAATGGCACTGTGGATCTGCCCATCACTCAGGGACCCTGGGGCATTAGACAACTCTCCTTCAGAGGTGGGTGTTCAGGGAGCCAGAAGAATTTGAGGGGGAGGGGTCCAATATCTGCCCACTGTGCGCTCCTGGCTTGGGGCTGAGCCCCAGGGGGAAGGGTGCTCCCAGATTGCTCAGCTTGCTCTGCAACCGTGGTGAGCTCTCTGAACCTCCGCTTTCTCATCCAGCATGAGGGTTTGGACTGGCCAGCCTTTGAGTTTCCTTCTAGTTTTGCCATTTGGTTATTCCATACATGCTTCACTAAAATCCCCCCAAAACAGTAGCTGCGGTGTTTTTACAGAAAACACAGCACCTGGGCTTGGTAAAAAGAATCCTACGTAAGCATGTATCTCTGTGGGTACGAAGCCATCTGGTGTTCAATGAAACCGTGGACCATCCATTTCCGGCTCACCGGGTGTGAGCCTGTGCTCTTGTAACAGGCATTGCCGCCAAAGTGTACGCCAGCAGGATACGCCCATTACCCTGAATGTGGGGCAAGTTATGTAAGTTCCCTAACCCTCATTGTAGCCATCCGAAAAATGGGGATAATGCCAGCGACCTCAGGGACCTGCAGTGGGAATCGCAAGTGACCCGCTCGCTAGCCCCCTACTTACAGTCTTCGAGAAAGCCAGGGTCTCCTGGTGAGAAGCTACTCCAGATGTGTCCTGCCAGGTGACCTGGGGCCGTTACCAGGCTGCAGACTGAGCGTAGTTTCACTGGTATTCCAGCAGCTTCGACAAAGATCCTGTTTTCCAGGCAGTATCCTGTAAGGGGGTGAGAAGCCTTTTATTCCAGGGCGGCTACAAGTATTGCCAGTATTCCATTCTTCCCCCGAGATGTGCAGGAGCTGCAGAGAGAAATGAACTGAACTGCTCGTGAGGTCTCCTCTCTGAGCCTCCTGGAAGTTTCTTTATTCAGTATCCAGGAGTGCCACTGTGTAGGACTTGGGTGTTGGGAGTGGGGTTCTTTTGCCCATGTGAATAAAGAGCACAGAGCAGTCGGCTGCAGGTTAGTCGAGATTAGAGGACCTGCCCTTGGAAGGCATCCGGAACTGCAGTCTAACCCCGGTGTCTGTCCTGGTTTGCTTGATCGGCTCTGAGCCCCGCCTGGTGCATCACAAGCTCAGCTCAGGTCATAGAGGGTGACTTTGGGCATGGGATTGTGCAGGGAGAGTGGTCTGGAAATCTGGCATGATTTCAATTTGCTACCTGTATTTTTGCTACTTGTATTCTTTTGCTACGTAGTTTCTGGAGTGCATGAAGCAGTTTACAAAAAGAAAAAAGGGGGTGGGGTGGGGAGTATGACTAGGATCTTTTGGAAAAGTTCTATTTAAAGCCATATTTGTCCTTTCTGGGTGAGAGAGGGGAGGGGAAGTTTGTAGGAAAGCGCTCTGGAATGAATGAGGTGACCACAAGTGAAGTTAGCCCTGGGACATTTGGCAAGTCACTTCCTCGTGCCTCAGTTTCCTCATCTGTAAAGTGGGGAGGTGGTCACCTGCCCTTACCAAATCATTGAGCCAAAGGGTGTAAGTGCTTGGAGAATCGAATGTAACTTTATTTAATTAGATAAACTTTAAAACGTTTTTTTTTTTATCTTGAGAGAGAGGGAGATAGAGCAAGTGCACACACGAGCGAGTGCATGCGCAGGGGAGGGGAAGAGAGAATCCCAAACAGGCTCCATGCTGTCAGTGCAGAGCCCGATGTGGGGCTTGATCTCACGAACTTTGAGACCATGACCTGAACTGAAACCAAGAACTGGATGCTTAACCAACTGAGCCACCCAGGTACCCCGAGTGTGACTTTAAAAAAAGTTATTGTCTCCATGATTTTTTAGTTAAGCCTGGAATATAAGAGCCCTTGGGACCCAGGACTCCTTGGTCCTCATTTGGTGCTTCCCATGATCCAGAGGGTCTAGAGCTGGAGGGAAATGAAGCTGGAGATACTCTGGGCTGTTGTGGGTTGACACACACTCAGCCAGCGTTGCACACCCCCCCCCCCCGCCCCCGCTGGGGCAGTAGGGGCCAGGATGCTGCCTTCACTCTCCACTCTCCTGTCCCATCCATATGTCAGGAGCCAAGCAGCCTGCTTACTGTGCAGCAACAGAGCAGAAAGAAGGAACAGAATAAGGGAGGAAACAGTTTCTCACCCACCCTCTATGTCCCAGGTGCCTGGTAGCAGTTTCTCACCCATATCTCCTTGTTTCCTCGCCCCAGTGCTGGGAGGGGGGCAGAGGGAGGCTTGCTTGGCTTACATGCCCAGCCAGGGGGATGATGCCAGAGCCAGGGCCTCCCCGCTGTCCCCCTGACGGCAGGGCCCTGTATGGACAGTGGTTCGTTCATAGCGACAATTGGGATGTTGAATTTTTACACTGGCCGCGAGGCACAGTCTTCTGAGGCTGGCCTCACTGGGGTCAACGCCGAGATAGACTTGAACATTTTCTTGCATCTTAATGCCTCTCCAGTGTAGTGCCCTCGTCTCCACTGCCAGTTGAATCACTTGATGACCTTTTAGTAGAATCATTTGATTGCCGTTGTCCCTTTGGAGAAGCTCTAGCAAAGACCGTAATTAAAGATTAAAAAAAATGATGGAAACCGGGGCTGTGTATTTTAGACACGTTCTGCTTCACTTGCCAATATTGCGTTAACATTTATTCCAGAGAAATTTCCGTGCGGAGTGACAGTCCTTCAATGGATTCGCATTCTGAGACAGTCAAACACAAAAAGGTCACATAGGAAGCGCCAACGATATGAATTTTTAGAAAAGTCTACCCAAGCTTTATCCGTGTGCTCCCACAGGGTAGGCAGGAGAGATGTGGCGTAAAGCCGTAAGAAAATACAGAGCCGTCACCAGATGTTCCTCATGGTTCTGTTCTGTTTTGCAGAATTGGCTATCCAATTCCGATGTTTGCTGGATTCTGCATCATGTTCGTGTCAACCATTAGTAAGTGTCGGATGTTTGCCTCGTGCATGTGGGTCACGGGATGGGCTCAGAGGACCACGCACTGGGAACTGAGGACACCACTCCGGGGTGGGGGCTTTGTGTGTCAGTGGCAGAAGTGTGTGGGGGGGGGGTCAGTAGAGCTGTTCATGGCCCAGAAGCACAGTGTGGTTGATGGGGAAACACGCCACTGGGTTCAGGGATGGTTTCCCAGTGCCCCTGAGAGCGGCATGGTCACAGCCTTGGGCTGACGTGTGGCCGGGCCGCTCCCTCGGCAGTGTTCGCCTTCTCCAGCACCTACGCCTTCCTGCTCATCGCCAGGTCGTTGCAGGGCATCGGCTCTTCCTGCTCATCCGTAGCTGGTACGTGTGCAAATACCCAAGGAAGCCATTCCCCGGGGAGGGGGTGGGAGGCTTCCGTCTGTTGAAGAGGCTGCCAGCCTTGCCCTGGCTGGCCAGCCCCTTGGACAATTAGCTGGAACGACGTAGGGAATCAAGGTATTAGTTGTGGTGCTTGGGGAGGGGTTCTTAGGAAGGACGCTGCTGCTTTCCTTTGGATTCTGCCACGTCTTCCCTTTCTGGGAACCTGACGGGTCTGGGAGATTGCAAGTCTGGGCCAGAGAGGGCAGGCAAGTCACGGGTTATTGGTTTTTGGGCTCGCTGCACAGCTTGGCTATTGAGCACTTCTTGTCCTGTTTAGGGATGGGCATGCTGGCCAGCGTGTACACGGATGACGAAGAGAGAGGCAACGCCATGGGCATCGCACTGGGAGGCCTGGCCATGGGGGTCCTAGGTGGGCAGGAGCCACCCGGAGGCAGCCTGGGGGGAGGGGCTGGCGGGCACTGGAGGGCGCGATAGCGCTCCCTGAGTCCACGCCAGGTCTGTTCGTGCTGACGGACTCCGCCAGCTGCCACCCTTTTTTTCCCCTACTCTCACAAAGCCTTTGAAAACTGGTGGGAGGCTGTGGGCTCCTCTGCCTCCACCCCCGAACCTGCTGGGTGACCCTGGGCCCAGATGGAAATGAAGGCTGGTACGGGGTGGTCTGCCAGGATCCTTCTTCTTGCACTTTCTCTGAGTTGCCATGCCACCTGAGGACCTTCCTCCCTTCCAAGTCTACTGTCCCCACCCGCCCCGGCTGCCCCTCCCCGGCCAAGGGACAGATGTCTTCCCTGAGAGGAAGTTTGCATCCTTTCCCTTGTTGGATGCATATCCGGCCTTCGTTTAGGAGCCCAGAGTTGTGTGTCTGCTGGTTTATAAGGAGCGAAGTCCTCACAGACGCACTGTCCTGTGCTCCGTGAGCAGCACAGCAGTGTGTGGCCCGGGGCTGGCTTCTCTCTGGTCTTTACTTTGTGGGTGCCTCGTCTACACTGTTGCCCATGTCTCAGGTGTAAAACAGCTCAGAGGAAGTTGCCAGGGCAACTTGAAACCACTGAATGGAATGTAGGGCAGCCACCCCTAATAGGTTGTGGAACAAAGTGCGAACTCAAGAAACAAACGGATGGTTACGGTGGAGCAGGGGGTGGCGGGCGACATCTGTCGCAGGGCCTGGCACCGGCCCCTCTCTCTCTTCCTTGCAGTGGGCCCCCCGTTTGGGAGTGTGCTGTACGAGTTTGTGGGGAAGACCGCCCCGTTCCTGGTGCTGGCTGCTTTGGTGCTCTTGGATGGAGGTGAGTCCACCTGGGTACCTTGGCTGTGATCCCGGTGGCTGTGACCTGTGTCAGCAGGTGATTCATGTCAGCAGGTGCTGGGAGTCACACCTCTTATCTTTTTTCTCCCCATCTTGTAGCTATTCAGCTTTTTGTGCTCCAGCCGTCCAGGGTGCAGCCAGAGGTAAGCCCCCGGGGAAAGAGGGTGACACGGCGGTCCCATCAGCTCTTATAACTCCTGATTTTTGTTTACAGAGCCAGAAGGGGACGCCACTGACCACCCTGCTGAAGGACCCCTACATCCTCATTGCCGCAGGTAGGGCTTCCCCCAGGTCTCCCTAGTTCTTCTCAGCCAAAGGGTGGTGGGGAGGGGTGGATGGAGAGAATCAGAGTTCACTTGGCTGCTGGAAACATTGAAACATGAAACGCAAAGACGTATCCACGACCCCAGGAATAGCTATCTCCTATCATTAATTTCTGACACTCAGCCAAGTTCCTTTACTGGTTTTTATTTGGAGCAAATATGTCTGGGGCACGGAGATGCCCTGCCGCGGAGGTTTGTTTGTGTCAGCGGCCATCATGGTTTGGCCTCGAACTTCCGGAGGGAGTCCGTGGCCTCACTGTGGGCACTGTAGGTGGGTGGCTGATTCACCAGGTGAGTATGAATAGAGGCTGACAGCAGAGGCCCAGAGGGCCCAGGGGACAGGTCCCTCCTTGCAGAGCGGGCACCCTGTGCAGCACCAGAGAGGGCGGCCGGAGGACCCCCTTTGGCTACAGAAGGTCCCATGTTTGGGTTCTTGGCCTAGATGGGCTCAAAGGAAGCCCTGGGGTCCTGTGACTTGTTAGGAGGATAATGGGTCTCATTCATCCAAAAGACTGTCCGCCCAGGAGCATCTGTCTCAGTGACACAGGCCTTGGCTGCCTAACAGGGGACCAACCTTACATTGCCTGGGCCTTGAGACTGGTCAACAGAGGCCCTTGGGGACGGGTCAGGAGACGGCAGCCCTGAAGTGTGGCATCAGACGCCATCACGGTTGTATTTGTCTAAGCCGTGGCCACGAACACTGGTGGGGCTGAGATCTAGCTGAACAGGACGCATACCTACCCAAGAACATTCCAGTTTAGCCTTTTTCAAACCCCATGCTGGCTTTGTGTAAACCTCCTGCTGCTGGATTTGGTTGGGGGGGGCCCTGGTCTAGACCCCCTCCACCGTGCCCACTGGCCAAAGGGTTGTAAACCTGGTGTGGTGACGTCCTTGTGCGGGGGACCTCTCTGTGCCCCCATCAAGATGGTCCCCAAGCCTGGATGCCTATAGAGCCCTGGGGTGAGGGTGTGTGTGGGGAGAGTGGGACTCCCTGCCGCCCGCCCGCCACAGGCTTTCTTTGACCCTCACTGTCTCACTCTGACTCAGGAAGGAAAGACACCCAGCACCGAATGTCAGGCTACCACACTTCCAGGCAGCCTTGACTTGGGGAGTGGGGGGCCAGGCAGTATCTTATTTGTTCTGGTGGGATTCTAACTTCTGACGGTGACTGAGTGGTGACACAGGCCTGTGCTGTTGAAAGAAGATTTTCTTTCTTACATTTCCTGAGAAAAGAAGGCATCCATTGCCAATCAGGGCCACATAGGGAAGCCCCAGGTTTGGTGGGGGGTTTGCGTGGGGGAGAAAGGGGTGGTGGGGGGAGACCTAGGTCAGAGCCTTTCTTGGGGTTTGCATGGGAAGAACAAGGCAGGGCTGGGGAAACAGCCTAGGGTGGGCAGGCTTTGGAGCCTGGGAACTGTCCCTGCTTGCTGGGTGTCTGGCCCTAGATGGATTTAGGGTGGGGGTGTCCGCGTGCTGTGTGAGAGGGAGACAAGGGGTTCAGAGTTCGGGCCCTGGGTTTCAGGGGAGACAGAACGTGTCGATTTGGTCCAGATTAATAGACAGCAAAGAGAGAAATGACAAATCGAGGAGGACAGCAGGTAGGTGAGGGGATCAGTTCAGTATCATCTCTCTGTTCCAACGGTCACGTCCCAAAACATGAGGAAACCTTTCTGCATTACGTGAGCACCTTAATCACTGCTGCACAGTGTCCTTTGAATCAGGATTCCAGCAAATTAGAGGTTCACGGGGACACAGAACTGGAAGCTCCCAGCACGGTGAGGAATGGTGCTGTGCATTTTTTTCCCGATGGTTCTACATTTCACGAAGGGTTCTGGTTAACAGATACTGGCTATTTGCAAAGATAGCCTGTATGTATAGTTGATTTACTAAAAAAAAAAAAAAAAAAAAAAAATCCCTCAACAGCCCATCTGTACTGAACGCACCAGATTTTGGGGCATCCCAGGGGCATCTTTAGAAATGTCTGTATTCATTGCACAGTAGAATTTAGGTGCAGAAACCTCCAGTTGCTGGAGTCTGTGTATGGTCTGGAAGTGGCCCACGTGGCTGGCTGGCCTCAAGCAAGTTCCTTTGTTAATAAATGAGAACTCCTCCTTCATTAATAAGTTGGGATGGTTAACCTAATGACCTCTGAGTCTCCCTCCAATTCCTTTATGATTTTGGGATGCTATTTTGAAAAAAATTTTTCTTAATAGTTTGTTTAAATTTAATGCTTAATTTTCATTAGTATTTATTTAATATTTATTATTTAATAATAAAATTAACGATGATGACAAACCATCGTTGATCAAGAGGTTGATAAATCCAACCTCTTCACTATCCCCTTGACCTGTGATTTATCTTTTTCTTATAAAAGTCGACATTCTGGGTATCTAAGGGGGTTGTTCTGGCTGTGGGCATGTGGGGTTTAACTGCATAGGGGACCTAGGGGACACTCAAGACCCAAAACAGAAGCATACTAACCCTCTTCCTCCCTTAAAGGCTCCATCTGCTTTGCAAACATGGGGATTGCCATGCTGGAGCCAGCCCTGCCCATCTGGATGATGGAGACTATGTGTTCCCACAAGTGGCAGCTGGGTAAGAACTTGAGTGGGTGCTTCTGATTCTAGAACTTTTGTCCTAGGGTGAGTCCTGCCATTGTAGTCCTGAAAAGCTGCAGGTACCAGGATGATAAAATGATTGTTTCTGTTTGATACTTAATGGGGGTCAGTGCTTAGAGCTGTGGGGTCTTTCTCAGCTTCAGTTTTTTAAATCATCCCTGATGGAATCAGAATTAGCAATGAGGCATGAGACCTGGGCAGAAACAACCAAAACACAGTGTTTCCCCATGTTTCTGAACTAGACATTAATAGTTCTATTAAATGTATGTGGACAGAAATAAAATTTATGGGAAAGAGGCTAACAGTATTTAAGAGGATTAATGTTTTAAAGTGTTTTTTATTTAGAAAGTAATACATGCTTTATTATTTAAAAAAAAATCAAAGTACACAGATCAAGGAAGTTTTAAAAATTCTCACGTTCATCTTTTTCCTCCCAGGCCAGTCCTCTGTAATATTCATTGTTAACAGTTCTGTCTTTTCCCAGATGGTTCTGCATTTAGCACTATGTGTGAGATGCTTAAAAACCCAACCCAAGTGGAATCTTCCCATTTATATCACTGTGTGACCTCTTGTTTGTCCATGTTTCCATGTCAGAAGGGGTCAATTGAATATTTTCAAAATTTTTATCAGAGTTACACATGTACTTAATGTTGAAGTTAAATAGCATCATTAGAATTGTAATGAAAAAGCAGTTTTTACCCCATACCTCCCCATCTTTAACCCCCTTCTTCAGATTTGTTCACTTCAATGCTTTTAGTGTTTTTTTCTGCTAATTTCTGTCTCTAAATAATATGTGTAACTCTTGTTTTTTAAATTTTTTTTTATAGTTTATTTACTTTTGAGACAGAGACAGAGCATTAGCAGGGGAGGGGCAGAAAGAGAGGGAGACACAGAATCTGAAATAGGCTCCAGGCTCTGAGCTGCCAGCATAGAACCTGATGTGGGGCTTGAAGGCACAAACTGTGAGATCATGACCTGAGCTGAAATCGGATGCTTAACTGAGCCACCCAGGCTCCCCTCTTTTTTTTTTTTTTTTTTTTTTTAATTCTCCAATTTCTGATCTTGTCTACCAGCTCTCTAACATGGTATATGAAGATTTAATGCTGTTATTACACCTGAAAATACCAACCAAACAACTCCCCTGTTTTCTCAGTTTCTATTTTCCTAAAACAGTTATATTTGTTGGTTAGTTTGACGTTCAATATTGACTTTATTGTGACTGTGTAAAAATTGGTCAAAGGTGAGCTATATAGGGTTTTATGATTGCTTCTTTTTACAAACTTTTGTTTTTCCTGGAGTTAATCATTGCCATGTCTTTTCACTTTCTTAGTTTTCCATATGGCATTTCTGAACGTATTCCTAAGTCTCTAGCAGAGGAGAAACGCCCTGTAAATGTGGCCAAGTACATCAGCAAACCTAATGTATTTGTATTTTTGCTTGTTTATGGATATTTGTCCTCCATTACTCTGTCTTGCTGCAGTCTAGGCTTATTCACTAGGCCATTCCTCTTCCAATATCTGGGCATCTTTGCTTCTCTTCTGTTTCTTGTATCCTCCTCTTCTATATTCCTTTATCTTAGTTTACTCTGTCATTATGATGGAACATATGCTTCCTGAGAGATGGTACATGGCAGGTAAATTCCTCTGAGATCCTGCATATCTGCAGATATCTTTATTCTCATGCTTGGTTGACTTAGTCTAATTGGGTATATAATTCTTGACTGGAAAGTATTTTTCATCAGTTTGTTTAAATGTTTATTTCTGAGAGAGTGAGAGAATGAGAGAGAGTGTGCATGAGCGTGTGTGGGGGAGGGGCAGAGAGAGGGAGACACAGAATCCGAAGCAGGTTCTCTGGGCTATCAGCACAGAGCCCGACATGGGGCTTGAACTCATAAACTGTGAGATCATGACCTGAACTGAAGTCAGACGCTTAACCAGCTGAGCCACCCAGGTGCCCCTTTTCCTCAGTTTTGAGACCATTGTCCTACTACTGTGCTCTAGCATCCAGGGTTGCTATTGAGGAGGCCAGGGTCCTTCTCACTCCCCATCCTCTGTAGGAGCTGGAAGGATCGCTTTCTCTCTGGTTATGAATGTCCATGATGGTTTTTGCAGTGGCATCTGTTTTCTTCTGTACTGGGACCTTTCTTGGTTAGCCTGTTCATCTAGGAAGCTGTTCCTTTTAGTTCTGGGAAACCATTTTGTATTATTTCTTTAATCCTCTCCCCTACTCCATTTTCTCTCTTTAATGTTACTCTCCTTAGTTCAGTATTGGACCCTTGGTGTTTCATGGTGTAATTTCTTATCTTGCTGCCTCTTATTTCCATTGATTTCTTCACCTTCATTTTCTAAACTGTCTATTGAATTTTTATAATTGGTGTCATCATATTTTTAAATTTCAAAAGCCCTTTCACATTTACTCTGAGTGGTTTTGTGTGTGTGGAAAGGTTGTTGAACTCACAAACTGTGAGATCTCAGGAACCGTGAGATGGCAACCCGAGCCGAAGTCAGATACTTAACGGACTGAGCCACCCAGGTGCCCCGAGGGGTCTAATTGCTCTTAAAACAGCCTTTCAACCCCCTTTCAACCCTCTTTCCAGTTGACAGCCTCAGCCTTACATTAACTTGGAGCCTTCAGATCCTGAGTGTTCCGTGTTCTGAGGCACAAAAGGTTTTGCTTCTTGTTGGCCGCTCCATGTACAGATGGAAGATTCCAGTGTTCTCTACTGTGTCCATCACTGCTGTCTCCCTGCTTCTTCTTCCCTCTCACTGCACTTTCTCCTTTCACATTTTGTCTTTCCTTGGGCATTGAGGGGAGAGTATGGCGCTTCCTTTACTAAAATGTAAATGGAATTTGGGATGGGAGTGGAAAATGTGATAGAAAAACCTATCGATTTATTTTATTTTTTTACAAATAGTTTATTGTCAAGTTAGTTTCCATATAACACCCAGTGCTCATCCCCACAAGTGCCCTCCTCCATGTCCATCTCCCCCCTCCCCCCCCACTCCCATCAGTCCTCAGTTTGTTCTCAGCATTCAAGAACCGAATGGATCAAGAAGAAAAACCTATCGATTTAATCTGCCCTTTTAATTGGAAGCCCATTGTTCATTTTAATGGTTGGATGTTCTATTGTAAGGTTATGCCATAAATTTTCAACCACTTCCTTTAGTTGGGCATTTGGGTTGGTTCTGGTTTTTGCCATTTAGAAACCGTACTGCAGCAAAGTATGCTTACCTGTATTCCTGTTCATGTTCCGAAATATATCTGCAGGGCAAATTCCTGAAAGTCCAATGCCTGTTTAATATTTGGTAATATCAGTATTCTCGGTCTTTCCCAGATGCATATATGAGAAAGGGGTGTGTATGGGGGGGGATCTCATTTTGATTTATTTTTACAAGTTTTTTTTTTAACGCAATTGAGCATCTTTTCACGTATTTATTAGCCCTAGCCATTGCCTCTCTGGTGGTTTCCTTATGAAATCAGAATGAATAATACACTTTGCCCATTTTTTATATGAAGATGTTTGTCTACCTCTTATTGAATTTAATTGTTCCTTGTATATTGATATTATTCCTTTATCAAATGTTTTACAAATATTGCCTTTGTTGTATGTCTTTTGACTTACAACTTATAGGTGGAGTTTTGTGTTTTTTTTCCTTTCTCTCTCTCTCCCTTCCTTCCTTTCTCCTTCCTTCCTTCCTCTCTCCTTCCTTCCTTCCTTCCTTCCTTCCTTCCTTCCTTCCTTCTTTCCTTCCTTGCCACTCAGATCATTTAAGATGCCACTAGTTGGGGTTAGCCCCCTGTCCCTTCATTTCCTTGTCGTTTCAACTGAAGCTCAGATAAGACCTTTCCCATGCCAAGATTATTTTTTCATCCACACTTCCCCCTGATTTACGGTTTGTTTTTTACATTAAACTCTTGCCTTTACGCAGACTTAGTTTAGGTATATGGTGTGTGATGAGGATCTCGTGTTACTGGTTTCTGGGTGACCAGCCACTTGTCCCTAGGAGTCTGCCTGGTTTCTCCCACCTTTATCATACTTGAAACAACAGTGTGTTCTTGAGTCTGTTTCTGGATTCTTTTTTTTTTTTTCTGATATATATTTTTAATATAGTTTATTGTCAAGTTGGTTTCCGTATAACACCCAGTGCTCACCCCAACAAGTGCCCTTCCCCATGCCAACAGCCCCCTTCCCCTCCCCCCCATCAGTCCTCAGTTTGTTCTCAGTATTCAAGAGTCTCTCATAGTTTGCCTCCCTCCCTCTCCCCCAACTGTTTTTCCCCCTTCCCCTCCCCTATGGTCCTGTTAAGTTTCTCCAGTTCCACATGAGTGAAAACATGGTATCTTTCTCTGCCTGACATATTTCACTTAGGATAATACCCTTGAGTTCCATCCATGTTGCTACAAATGGCAGATTTCATTCTTTTTCATTGCCATGTAGTATTCCATTGTATATATAAACTGCATTTTCTTGATCCATTCATCAGTTGGACACTTAGGCTCTTTCCGTATTTGGCTATTAGCACATTCTTATCGATGTTTGTGATTGTCTTATGTATTTGGGTGTTTCTGAATTCAGTGCATAGACGTTTATACTTGTTAGCTCTTCCTGATGGATAGACCCTGAAATTATTATATAATGCCCTTCTTTGCCTTTAAAATAAAAAATAAAGTCCAGTTTGTCTGATATAAATATGGCTACTCCAGCTTTCTTTTTGATGTCCAGTAGCATGATAGATGTTTTCCCATCTCCTCACTTTCAATCTGAATGTGTCCTCAGGTCTAAAATGGGTCTCTTGTAAACAGCAAATAGATGGATCTAATTTTTTTAATCCATTCTGCTACTCTGTCTTTTGATTGGAGCATTTAGTCCATTTACATTCAGTGTTATTATTGAAAAATACGGGTTTAGAGTTATTGTGTTCTCTGTTAGATTCATGCTTGTAGTGGTGTCTCTGGGACTTTGTGTTCCTTGCAACA